AGATGGTATAAAAAGGAAGAGGAGGAAATCTTCGCTGTGCGTAAGAGGATATGTTGGTATTTATTCAGGTGTAGCAGCAGTAGAAAGGTTCATCAGAGCGAAGTACGAACGGCTAGAGTACGTACCCAAGGGGAATCCTCCACCACCATGTAGTATAATAGGGCAAGGAGTCGTGTTGGTATGTTCAAAAGGCAACCGCTGTTGGAGTAGGAATAGATGCTCGCTTTCCTCAACTGAGCTCGGGAGTTTCCTCGCTGATTATAGGAGTTTATATACGATCTAGGGTTGCAGTGTACAGAAACTAAAACGAATAACATCAAATTTCTTCATAATTTTCATATTGTCGCCCACACATGTAGTTGATGACCATGTGCATATATCACCTCATGCTGGAGCAAACAGTGTGGCTCTCGAATCCACTTCTCCCTTATGGGAAGATGTAACGATTTAATTCGATAGTTATAGTTACTTGTATCTTAGGTGAACTTGTGTTACAAGGTAGAGATGCAGACGTATATAATACAACATCATCTAAGCATGGACCCAAGGCGGATAGAGCTGAGCAAGTTCCCAAGCCATCACGGTCTTCACAGAAAAAGGAACAACATAAGAAACACAAGTAGTAGTGATGATGATAGTGTATGTTGAGATTCACTTGTTCTTTAGAGAGCCCGAAAGTACGGAGTCCAGTACGGTGGGCATGGAAGACCTTTTGGACCTCACAGATTTCCCTGTTACTTCCTCTGGGAATAGTTTTAATAATCCCAAAAGTGGATGTCTGATCGATGATAATTTTGGGGTAAGTTGTAGAGGTATGTTAACTCCATTGTGGTGGTGTATGAAAAAATTCACATTGGAGTGGTATTTCATGGGCTGGTATTTTGCAGAATTTTTAACGTGCTACAACCCTCATTCATTTCCCTCCTAGTAGTGTTCATGCATAGGGCGCGCTGCCAGCGCTCCATTGTCGCTTTGTGTGCCCCTCCTCCTCCGGCAGTTATATTATTGTTGCTGAGCGACTTGCTCATTGATGTAGGATTTCGGTGATCTTATGAGTGGAGATTTGAATCCAACTAAGAAGGAGGTAAAGACGAAGACGAGTATGCTGTTTGGCGACGGGTTGGACGACGATCTCTTTGATCCCTTTGCGAAGCCGACTCAGCAGAGCTCGGCGAGTTCGATGAAGACAGTGAGCCGTAATAGGGATGATTGTGGGGTGTGGGAAAGGTGTGGTATGGTGTTAGAATTGGCGCATAAGAACGAGTTCAACATATCCAGCTTGTATTATCAAAACCCAACTCCGTCCTCCTCAACGTCGTCATCATATAAAGTGAACTCTGGAGGTACTAAATCTTCATAGTTCATCTGGTTATGAGTCAATAATTCTCAGGTGGTGTTGGTTTATCATCTTCCAACGGTTTGGTCCAAGCCCCTGTAGTGAATGCCAATAGCCGAGCACAGTTAGGGGGTAACTGGTCGTCATCATTGAGCGGAAGTAGTAGTAGAGGGAGATGGGGTATGCTGACCTTGTGACTTCAGTGGAGGAATCATAGTCCTGTTGAAGGTGTTGCATTGAGCGATATGAATTATGTCAGATGCAGCAACACCGGGGAGACCTGGCGGGAGTATGAGTCAGAAGTCGACGACGGAGCGAAGCGGTTCGAGTGGATTCAATTCCCTTGATCCGTTCTCGATCCTGAGGTGATCTCGTCGGCGAGTTAATTGCTGCTGTGTCGGTAGCATAAACTGCTTCTACTATTATACAGACGAGTGTGCCAAGGAGGGACTTTTCTGTTATGGGAATATGGATACTTTATTGAGTTCATTGGGGGGTCGGAGTGATGATGGTTTTTACTCTTCGTATGAGTAGACCGCAAGAAGGATGGATTGGTGATGGAGAGGGGCAGGCTGTAGTTGACTTGGTAGAAAGGGAAAGGAGATAGTTCGGAAATTTGGATAGTAACGAGAAGTTGTGGGATATTCCATATGCACGCATGAGCCGTCGAATACTAGGCAAATGATCGGTTACTGTAGAGAATTCTTCAGAATAATCGCCGATTCGGGTTTTTCTTCCTCACAATAACTCAGCGTTGAGTGTGTGCGATAATTATCGTGCGTTTGATAACTCTCATTTTCAGCAAAAGTCCTTCTTTTTCTTGGCGCAGTGACACGCTCATCTCACAAATCTTCCCAATCCACTGGTTGAGTTGCCAGAGTGTACGTACTCTACTCGAGCTCATGTGCCCGAATCGAAGACTGTGTTATTATAACTTACCTTCAGGCTTGAACGGACGACCTTCTGCTGACAAAGCAGACACTTTGCCACTAAGCTAAAGTGTCACATACACTGTATACATTCATAACTTTCTTGTCCCATTCACAGAATGAGCCAACCTGCTCCTGCTCCTCATACCCGACTAGAGCCTAATGCTGCTGTAAGCCACTTGCCGAGATTGAACTGACGACCTTCTGCTTACGAAGCAGACGCTCTACCACTAAGCTAAAGTGGCGCACAGATTAAGTATATGAATCAATAATTTTCCTGTCCCGTTCACAGAATGGGCCATCCTGCTCCTGGTTTTCGTACCAGACCAGAAATTTATGGTGTTATAAGCCACTTGCCAGGATCGAACTGACGACCTTCTACTTACGAAGCAGACGCTCTGCCACTAAGCTAAAGTGGCGCCCAAAACAACTGCATAAA